ATGTAGTGCACACAAGGGATTTCAGCCTCTGGTGGTGTAGTTGTCATGTAGTGCACACAAGGGATTTCCCGATCATAGATTGACGCTAGTCTAACATTGCATTCGTGTTTCCGTATATTGTAAGTTCCCAATATGCATGGCCAGGTGGTTAGGACGCTCGACTCGTAATCTGAGGGTTGAGGGTTCGAATCCCTGTCCCACCAAACCTGCTTGCCCTTTCAGCCGTGGGGGCGTTATAGTGTGACGGTCAATCCTATTATTCGTTGGTAAAAGAGTAGTCCAAGAGTTGGCGATGGATAGTTGTGACTAGCTGCCTTCCCTCTAGTCTTACACTACTAAATTAGGGCCGGCTAGCGTAGGTAGCTCTCGTGTAGCTTTGCGCGAAATTCAAAACAAACAAACAAACTCTTCGTCGATATCAATCACCCACACATCGTGAAGTTTAGAGAATCGTCCTGCCCGAAAACAGTTAAGTTACTCAAAAGGCATGCGATATTTGTTTAAATACATAAATCCATACTAGCTATATTTTCAACGTTATACACCAATTTGGTAATGAAAAGTGGGGAAATTACCTCTGAGGAGGAAGAAAGAAGGTGGATTGATATAAACAGTGAGTTGAAGATGGAAGTTACCCATACATTGGTTGGGCGTGGCTTAGTGGTTAGAGTGCTCGGACTGTGGATCGGAGGGTTTATGATTTATGGTCCGTTTTAGCAAAACCGTTTGGGCCGTGGCGCTATAATATTGATGGTCCAATCTCACTCTATTGGATAAGGTAAGAGCAGCCTAAATGTTAGTGATAGGTGCTGTTAAATTATTGCCTTCCTTCTAGTCCAGGGGTCAGCAGTCTACGGCTATTTAACCCTCTCGCTATCCAATCATTGAAGTAGGGGTTACATGTATCGCGGCTCTCACTATCTTGCGTTTTTATCGAATTTGAAAAAAGATGGTTTTTCTCGTTATCTGGTTTGCTGACCCCTGGAGTCTTGTCTATCAGTTCTAAATCATGGACGACTATGACCCAGAGAGCTCTTTGTGTGGCTTTGCGCTAAAGCTCGTAAACACACTGTTTTAATTTTATAAAATGTAAACTGTATTTTAAATTCGCGGCAGGAAAAGGCAATACAAACAGCCATTTTGTGTTTCAATAATGTATGTAAACAATGATGAAATTAAGTAATACAGTAAAAGACTGTGATAGGCCGGCAATGAGTCATTTGTTTAGTTCCACTTAACAACAGTCTTTGCATGGAACTAGAGGTATTCAACCTGAACGGCCTATTGCGTGCACATCTGGTGAACAGCCAGTTCAAGAAACCCCTAATTTTGAAATTACTGTTTGTTTTGTTTGTTTGTTTTTGAATTTTGAATAATAATTATGCCTCTCGAAACCAGCAAATGTTTGTTTGTTTGTTCTGAATTTCGCGCAAAGCTACACGAGGGCTATTTGCACTAGCCGTCCCTAATTTAGGAGTGTAAGAGTAGAGAGAAGGCAGCTAGTCATCATCATCCACCTCCAACTCTTGGGCTGCTCTTTTACCAACGAATAGTGGGATTGACCGTCACATTATAACGCTCCCACGACTGAAAGGGCGAGCATGTTTGATGGGAGGGGATTCGAACCCGCGACCCGCAGATTGCGAGTCGAGCTCCTTAACCACTTGGCCATGCCGGGCCATTGAAATTACTGATTAGAGAGAAGATTAATAAGTCAGCAGTACCTGCTGCCACAAGGCTTTGTCCGGCTTTTAAACCGAATAACAGGATTGACTGTTACTTTTAAAACGCGCCCACAGCTTAAAGTGCAGAACGTATTAAGCAGCGTCACGTAGATTCATAAGGACGCGCCCTGCTTTGTCGTTCATATGAAAATACTGTACATTTTTCTCTGAACTTCAGTTTTATGACCTTCAGTCCAGTGGAAGGTAGGAATACGCCTTGTTTTATATACCAGTGGCTCCCAAACTGGGCAGGGGGCGTAGCAAATACACAACACTGTTAAGGTACTTCGTGTATATAGATTAATTAGGAGAGGGGCTAAGTCAGGGTGCGGAGTGTTCTGTGGAACTTTGTGCTCAGAAGGTTTGGGAACCTCTGCACTAGACTACCAAAAACAAACAACCTATTGGAGCTTGAACTTTTAAACATGCAAGTCATGTAACGAATGTAATGTTAAAGAAGATCAACTCAATACAGTTTTTTGATACTAACAATGGCGTGAAAATTTGATTTAATTTCGCTGCAACTTAACTGGTCCGTGTTGGGTTAACAGAGGAGCGCTTCATTGATTTTGATTCAAGTTCCCAAAATTTACTTGGGAATTTTTTTTGCAGTCACATACACGAATAATGTCGCAAGTAAACTCTGATGTATTATATTTTCTCCATCCTAAGTTTTCATTGATAACTTCGGCTGAAATATTGTGTTATTCGTAAACAGTTTCCTTTAGATGAAATCCAGAAAGAAAGAACCACTGGGTAAATCACTCCGGAAACAAAGAACCACTGTGTGAATCACTCCAAAAAGAAAGAACCACTGGGTAAATCACTCCTGAAACAAAGAACCACTGTATAAACCACTGACACATGGCAAGGAAATGTTCTTTGAAATGAACATGTTACGGTTCGAGAACTACTTAATTCTCCCCCCACCCCACCCGGTGCCCTAGCGGTATATCTGAGGGCTTTAACGCTAAAAACCAGGTTTCGATACTCGTCGTGGGCACAGCAGAGATAGCCCACGGTGAAGCTTTGCGCTTATCAACAAACAAAAAAGGTGGTTGATTATGGAGACGCCTGTAATTAATAATACTCACTCATATCTGTCTAAATTTGAATGTAGCTGTCATACAAAGTTTTGACTGTTTTTTGTGTGTAAAATCGAAACAAAAAAATACTTATTAAACTTACATATTTGTTGTCGTAACATTTTGTTTTGCGTTAGCATACATTTTCATCTTATAAAACTTTCGAAGTCTCGCACAATGTCGACTTAATTTTTTGTAACTTATTTTAGAATGGTGTGCAAGCCAACACTACGTTGCAGAGATCACTAGTACTAGTTAACTAACAATACATTTCCACCGACTGCTAGCTAGAGTAAAAACAAAAGCTTGTTGCATAAATGTTCTAATGCTGTAATGAATGTACCTATTTATGCAGAGCCACGCCTTTTCCAATCCCTTGGATAACGAAGAAAAACTGACTTTGGAAGAACACAGAGATCAAACCAGTGGCTCCCTGTGGCGATAAAGGGTGACTTGATTATCGATCAGTTCGTGTCTTATTCGTAGCCGGGTGTTCCCAGAAGGTCGGCTTTGTTCGCGAACCGAGAAGTGCGAGATAAGCTCTTGAAGCAACGCAGCAGTGTTGCGTGAGGTGTGTAACTAAACCTCCAGTAAGATTCGAGTGTACAAGAAAATAAATACCTTTAGTGTATCGCAACTGGGGACACGACAGTTGAGCTGCACCGGAAAACCGTATTCACGCTGCAAGCCTCACAGAATAATGTCACTTATACATGCAGTTTCAACTATGATCCAGTGGCAGCAAAAGGAAATTTGGTTGCTGACGATAATGAATCGTATTCTGATGACAAGACCTTAAAATAATCCTGGGTTATTTCAGCCTCTAAATTACAAGAGACGTTCACGAGACGCTGGAGAAATATGACGAGAAAGTGCTGGAAGCATGACGAGTGAAAAATTCGATAATCCCTCGATGTTATCGTCAAAGTAGTGTATATTAACGTCGTGTTTCCAGACGGTCACTATTATATTTATCGTTTTATTTATAAATGATGTCTACTGACTCTGTTCTCAACACAACAATGATCACCGCTACCTATGTACCTGAAGTTTCACAGCACGAAATAACTAGGTTAAGTTTGCCTTTTCCTAAACCTACAGGTAAGTCGTTTCCTTTTTTTCCATTCAATACTAACATCAAACTTGGATGAATTCATTATTTGCTTGTTTGTTTTTTGTAATAATTCTAGAGACGAGCTTCATACTTTAAATAATATGATGTACGTACAAATAAAATTCCTGTTTTCGTAGTTACGGTGAATGAGTTTAATCTGTTGCTTTACTTACAGACGAGTTTCGTGGTTTATTTGTCATAGCGTAACCAGGGTTAACCAGTTTTCTTTGCCCTAAAGATGAGCTTCTTAGATTATTTTTAATAGCGTAGTTACATAAAGTTTATATCATGTATCAATAAAAGTACACTTTTTTATCGATAAATTAGATAAAAAAAAATCCCGGGACTGAAGCTCGAACCCAGGATCTTTGTCGAACAGGGACAATGCTCTCTCTATCCAATCGAGTGATCCAAGAGTACATGCTATACTTGTCCCTCCTCACTCACAATGACTAAGAAACCTGATACTCCTTTGTGTTGTAGTCAGACAATTAGTGGGTTGATTTACCACCAACCAACCAAATCATAGGAGTAGCTATAAGGTTTCTTAGCATGTGTAGTTTCGTGTTTCATAATATGAGCTTCATACAGTAATATTATATTATATATATGCGAGTCTAATTAGAGCCGTTTGGATGTTTAACCCATTTTTCCTAAATTTACTATTTAATCGTGTAGTTTCATTACCATACTAGATGGTGATTCAGAAAAACCTAGATTGTTCTACTTTCAGTGGTAATTCTGGAGGGTTTGGTCAACCATTTTGATGTGACGAGGTTAAATATGCCTTTAGTTTTTCCTAATCCAACCAGCAACTCTGGATGATTTGGCCAACCATTTTTACGTGACTCGGTTAAATCTGACTTTATGTTTCCCAAATACAACCAGCAACTGTGGATGAATTGGTCAACCATTTTTACGTGACTCAGTTAAATCTGCCTTTATGTTTTCCTAATCCAACCAGCAACTCTGGATGATTTGGCCTACCATTTTTACGTGACTCGGTTAAATCTGACTTTATGTTTCCCAAATACAACCAGCAACTGTGGATGAATTGGTCAACCATTTTTACGTGACTCGGTTAAATCTGCCTTTATGTTTTCCAAATTCAAACAGCAACTCTGGATGATTTGGCCAACCATTTTTTACGTGACGCGGTTAAATATGCCTTTATGTTTCCCAAATCCAACCAGCAACTGTGGATGATTTGGCCAACCATTTTTACGTGACTCGGTTAAATCTGCCTTTATGTTTTCCAAATCCAACCAGCAACTGTGGATGATTTGGTCAACCATTTTACGTGACTCGGTTAAATCTGCCTTTATGTTTCCCAAATCCAACCAGCAACTCTGTATGATTTGGCTTATCATTTTGATGTGACGAGGTTAAATCTGCCTTTATGTTTCCCAAATCCAACCAGCAACTTTAGATGATTTGGCTTACCATTTTGATGTGACGAGGTTAAATCTGCCTTTTCGTTCTCCTAATTCAATCCTGTTGTGGTTTGAATGATTAGGTAAAACACTATTTTTTATTAATCCACACCAACCACAAAAATACATTTTCTATAGCTCACGTTAGGAAATGATAAAAAAACAAACTAATCTCCAAATTACAAACTGACGTTTACAAGAAAGAATGTTGCGCTTCGAAACACTAAGGACAAATTAATCTCCAGCGCCATCTTAGGTGAGCTTAAATACACACAGCTGAATTACCAAGGTGATCTATATGGTTCACATTGGCTTTATAGTTTATAAATATGTATTTATAAACTATTTACGTACTACGTTGCTTTGTGTTATATGACTTTCTACAGGATAGGGTCCGTAATAGCATGCGAGTCACAAACGATGTAATAAAAAAATACCACTGAGGATTGGAATTAACCCCATTAATTAATGTTAAGGTTTCCTATGTATCCTAGATAAAAAATGAGTGATTTAGTAAGTTATTCACACCGAGTACTGCAAGAGGAAAAACAAAACTACTCAATGTGTAACCCCTAGCGGCACAGCGGTAAGTCTGCGTACTTATAACGTTAAAAACCGGGTTCCGTTACCAGCAGTGGGCACGGCACAGATAGCCTATTGTGCAGCTTTGTGCTGAACTGCGAACTCACCCACCTGCAGTGAAACGTATAAAAGACAATTCGATAAGTTGGGGGATCGTTTACTAAATGGGAATGTTATATTGATATATTTATTTTTCGTCCTGTCGTATTCAACGACATATTTGATGTATTTAGTTGTGCAATAAGTTGTACGCGTAGGTTACAAAGATCCTTCATTCTTTATATGTTTTTGTTAAAATAGCGCAGACTAATAGTACGTTAATGGTCAGTAAGTGTCCGCCCCACTTTCTCTATATACTTGTTAGCACATTCGTTCTGTTGTTTTCAGTTTGATAACCATATACGATAACGTGTTTTTATATAAAACGGCGTCACACAAAAGACTAAAAAACACGTCGGATACGTTTTTTTCGGAGCAGGACTTGGTTGACGAATTGTGTTAGAATACACGTCGAAGAATTTGAGACATCTATTTAAGTTCTCAAACGATTGTACTATTGTACAAGAGCTATAATTCTGTCGTACAGTCGATGAAGGTGTAAATCCAAAACGTGGATAAAAAAAGATAAAAAAAAGAATTATACTTATTTCTTTAAGCTTTAAATATTAAAATGCTTGATGAAACAAGTAAGTATAGGTTTCAAATACGATGACGAGGAACCCACTTTGAGACTAATAATGGTTGGAAACAGCTTGAATGGGTAATGAAGAAAAACTTTGAATATAAGTTTAACATAACGGCAAATGTACAACGTTTCGAAAAACCTGATGATGACAAAACCTTGTTGAAACGTTATACATTTGCTGTTATGTAAAACTTATATTAAAAGTTTTTATTCATTACACATTCAAGCCGTCTCCAAGCATTATTAATGTATAGTGTGTTAAGGAAAAAAATTGAAGTGCTATTTCCTATCCTTTGTTACAAACGAGTTTTTATTTCACTCGTCCAAAGGACGGGTATTCCAGCTGGTTTTGAAATAATGTATCAATGGATCAAGCTACTCAATCCACATTCAATGATTCCTAGAAGTTAATAAGATGTTACAACTTTGTTTGTTTGTTTATTAGCAAAAAGCTACACAAAGGGCTTCTATTCTCTACTCACCGCGGGTATCAGAACTAGATTTTTAGCGTTATATGCCCTCAAAATTACCACTCAGGCACCTGAAAGCAGAAGTTACGATGCGATTTTGTTTGTTTGTTGTTAAGCACAAAGCTATATAATGAGCTAAATGTTCTGTGCTTACCATGGGTATCGAAAGCAGATTTTTAGAGTCATAAGCCCTCAGTCTTATCGCTGAGCCACTAGGGAGGGTGGGATTTGTTTTAGGGCAAAGCTACACAATAGGCTATCTGCAGTCTTCTACTACGGAGAATTGAACCCAGAATTGTAGCGTCTTTAGTCCATGAGTTAGTGTGATAATAATTATGAAGCGACTAATTGTTTCTGTTGTCATCACAAATCAATAATTGGATATAAAAGAGAGACATTATCAATACTTTCTAAACAGCGGTTCTTGCTTTTTTACTTGCTGGACCTAACCTTAAGGACCAATGCGGTATACGTGTATGTGATAAGGTTATTTTAAAATACTTTGTTATTTACAAAATTACTTTCATAACAATTTATGTGGTAAAATGGGTGGTATTGTTTATATAAAAAATTACTTTTTTAATTACTTCTATGGTAAAGAAGAACGATTCATTTAGAACGTGACGTACAGTTTGGCTCAATAAAAACGTGGAACGTTCTATTTTTATTCTCTACGTTTCAATCTAGTTTGTATTTTTGAATAAATGCTTCTTAATCTCTGTTATTTTAATTGTACAAAAAAGTGCATTTGTTCTCCGTCTATCTTTCCACTACTCGCTGACTCCCAAGAAATATGTACTTACAAATATACACGAAAACATTTATTGAAGTCCCAGGTAGCCACTGCAGTTTTGAATGAATGTTTTAATTATTTTGCTCGCTGACTACAAGGGTTTTCTTCACCTTTACCAATACAATTCTGTTTAATAGAGGTAAATAAAAATATAAGAAATTTTGTTAAAACTACTAAGCTTATCTGCACCGTCCTTAGTTTCAACTACCAACCAGAAAGAACTCAGTCAGCAGCACTCCTTCCACCCATCATCCATGCCAAGGGGTTGATTGTCACTCTGATCATTCATCCACAGCTTAAAGTACGAGAAATGTTTTGTGGTATCACATGTATTCGAACCCGGATCACTGGCTATGAAAACCAAAGAAGTATGACTGGAGATCTAAATTTAACGAATCAAGCAAACATTCAGCGCACACAATCATCATAACTAACTGAACATTTTCGAAAATAACATGAAACAAAATACAAATTAAATTACAAAAGTATTCAAAATTGTATAATTTTATTATTGAAAATCTAACTGAATTGTGATACTTTTCAGTATAACTATCAAGGAGCCAATTGGAAAATATTTGACATGATCCCTTATCATGAATGCTATACTCATGTTCTTCAAAACTTCAATAAAGTATGCACATTTATTTATATTAAAAAAAACAACAACATTGTGCAGATATCTGTAATATTTTTAAAATACTTTCCTTTTGCGCTGAAAACTAAGTTCTGAATAACTGTCTTTGTATACATTATCCAGCTATAATAAATCAGGTACTACAACAGAGCCTATTTCTTATTCATAATAACAATAATGTTGAAGAAGATCAGTGAATAACCCGTTTTTGCTTTGCTTGTGTTGCTACTTTTTCTTTCGTTTCTTATTTGTATTAATTGTCTGAATAGCACATCGCTTGACGTACCTTTATTCAAAACCTCAAATTACATCTTAGAATACCATAGGAAAATATTTCAACCATAGACTTGGTATCGCAATAGAGGAAGGGGAGGTACAACAGTCGAACAA